GTCACGAAAGGTTGGCATGCCTTTATATGAACGCATTACACTAAAACCCTTAGAAAGAGTAATGTCCAACTTCTCTGAAACTTTAAAGTAGGATGAACGTCACGATCACGCAAAAATCAGGCCAAAGCAGTGAGGTAGAATCACTTTTGAACTGTGTTGGAAGTGAAAAATTCCAAGGCAAAAAGACCGTACGGGAGTGAAAAATTCAACTCACGAACGTTGGAATCTATGAGTCAGTGAGAGATGCTCCAGGAAACAGAGACATACATTTCAAGTTGGCATGGACGTAACATCATGAACATGACAAAGAAGTTCTCGTTTTTAACATCCTAGGTCCTTTCACTGAAACAGAATTTATGAAAGAAAAGCAATGTCATAATAGTGTGATACGCACCAAAGACTATGTGCTTTGATGCTGCACTTTGCACTCACCTTCCAAAGGATTTTTAACACAAAACAAAGGAAAGAAATCAAACAACAAAACAACAATAAAAACTTCAACAAGCATAAGGCATTCAGGCAAAAGTCTTAAAACTCCTTCACGTTGACGCATCCCCAAATCAAATATATATATATATATATATATATATATATATATATATATATATATATATATATATATATATACCGATGGCTGCTGTTAAGATGGGGTCGGGAATGCTTATTTCCATGAAAGCAGCCTTACCAAACCTAGCCTAAAGAAATCTTACTTTATCGCATCCTGCCTAACCTATCTGTATCACAGCAACATTTGTGAGTTAATAATTCTCGCAAAATTCCTAGTGCCACTTGCCATGCAATTAGCCAGCTTAGCCGAACTTAGGGAAGACTATATGCTGATCGTCATCTCAACTCACCTCACTTTTTCCTTGACAACAGCAGTTTGAACAGCTTATTTTCATTGTCATGATTAGTCTGTCAGGGACGATAGTGGATATTCTCCGCAAGCGATCTTTCTCCTCCAAGCATAACATACTAACATAACTTATAGATGGCTACAAAACCAGTCTTGCTGCTTGCCTTCTCAGCTGCGGCAAAAACAGCCCCTTAGGTTTGGCTTTTTCCATTTAATAACTTTAAATTTGAAATGTTGGCTTTGCAATGAAAAGGGACTGTCTGACTATTTACTGAAACCCGATATCCACCTCATATTGTGATTGCTAAGCAGCTTGTAGTATTCCTGTGTTAAGAAATATAGTGCATTTCTACAGTGCAGTCATTTGCCAGTCAGCAAAACATGACAACTATGGACAACATCTTGTTAGAGCAGACTTGAGGGACCACTTCAGTAAATTTGGGGCAAATGGTCAGGAGAATGGGAAAATAAGTTGATTATGTGTCTCGTGGCATCAGAATCTGTCTTATGAACAAAACTCGATGGACTAAAACATAAAATGACCACATCTGGTTGCAAATCATATGATGAAAACAGGGTAGGGTCAACAATAAGTGTTCACAGGAGAAACTCACTCGCTGTTTCACGGTAGGCTTCCGTCTGCTGCCCCACATAAAAAATCAATATCCTTTGAATGGTTTGCTGGCGGACAGGATCGTCCAACCCGCCCACAAAACATACCTATCAATCATGCTCACCAACCTACAAGATTAAGATGCGAAGTAAGTAAGATGAGGCCTGCATGAGAAAACATTTTCGAAAGGCCGATTAAGGCTACCAAACAATTTTGTATTAGCTGCGCCAGGCCTGTCCCAAGGCAGGATAATGTAAGGATACATTATCCTGCTTTTATCCTCTGCGGCAGGATAATGTAACATGGTGAGATGGTGAAACTGCAATGGCTTAGATTTATCACTATTGAGATTTATAGGCTTATTACTATTGAGCTACGCCATAAACAAAGAACGGGCAACTGGGGGTTTAATAAGGCAAAAATGGCCTTCAATTATTTCCTTCAACTGTCAGAGAGCCCCGGCCAACGCAAGAGACCCTCTGCCATTCGGGCTCTCGTCCCCACCTCTGCTGAACAAATGTTCCCTGACTGATTCTAGGCCCCCTGTTGACACAGAATGCCCTTTTAGGCACTGTGGGCCACTGAACGATACAGGAGCTCGACCGATGTAAATCGCGGGCCTGTGCTTGTCAGTGCTTGGGAAATGGACTCCCAGAGCTCAGAACAACACGGAGCTGACTGTTCGTTCTTTGTGATCTCTGGACGAAATAGGGGAACACCCTGTCTCAGGGGTATCTATCGGTGCAAGGGTTCATCTTACTGACATTTGAGACCACAGCCCTATGTGCGGGGTCCTTGAGGTGACCTACCGCCACCCCTTCGGACCCTTAGCCATCCCATCGGGCCCCTCATATTTGGTCTCGAGAGACCCTTTGGTACCTCTTCGGGCCTCCTCAAACACCGCTCTGATTCGAGGCCACTTGCCGCCACAGGACCCCTGTTCGGCACCGTGGCCCCTTACCGACGCAGGAGCCCCTATCTGTGTCAGGGACCCCGAACATTTTAAATCGGATCCCGTTCTCGTGTCTGCTTGGGAAATGAGTCTCAAGGGCTCAGACGGACATGGCGCCGACTGTTCGGTGTTCGCGGTTTCTGATCGACTTAAACATTCGCACTGTCTCAGGGTTTCCTAAAAGGGGAAAGAGAGGACCTCCGAATGATATTACAGGTCATGACCCTACGGGCTGTGATTCTTTATGTGACCTTCAGCGAGTCGATCGGGCCAGTATGCCTTCCAACCGAGCCTTCGATTGTAGGGTCCAGTAGACCGCCCCGGCCTCTCTTCGGGCCTCATCAGGCGCTTCCTTTGGTCTGCTCGGGCCCTTGCGAGCACAGGCGCTGCGGGCTCCTGACAGAACAAGACCCCCGACCAGTGTAAATCACTGGCCCCGGCTTTACTGGTTGGGAAGTGGTTGGAAAGTGGGTCCTCAGGTCCAAACCGACACGGAACCGACTATGTGGTATGGTGGTATCTGACCGACATATAGGCGCATATGGACTCAGGGGCCTCCGATCGACACAAAGGGCCCTCCGATCGTTATTTGAGGGTCCGTCTTTGCAGACAGCTGGCCCTGAATAACACTCCGACCAGCCCTTCATGCCCTTCGACCCTCCAATTGTGCCCTTGATTGTCGGACTGGGTGGGTCCTTTACGCTGTTCGGACCTCCTCGAACACTGTTTCTGTCCGAATCGGGCCCCTTTGCAACACAGGGCCTTGCAAGGGGCTATGGGGCCCCGGGCAATATAAATCGCTGGCTCCAGCTTTGTCCCTTCTTGGGAAATGGGCCCTTAAGCCCATGCCGCTGCGGAGCCGACTGTGCGTTACTGGTGGCGTCTGACCGAAATATAGGCTCTTATCGACTCAATGGGCCCCAGATCAGCGCGTAGAGCCCTCTGGCTAGCATTTGAGTGCCCGGCCCTGTGGGCCGGAGCCCCTGAATGAGACCTCTGGTTGGCTTTTCGGGCCCTTAATCACAGGTTCTGAGTGGCCCTTCAGGCCCCTCGGAACCTAAGGGGCACGTGCCTTCTGTGTTCGCCCCCCCCCCCCCTGCCTGCGCTCCTGTCAGCACAGACACGTCGCCGCCTTCTGCCCGCTGTCCCTCGCACAGACATGCCGCCGCCTTCTCCCCGCTGTCGCCCGCACAGACGCGCCGCCGCCTTCTGCCCGCTGTCCCTCGCACAGACACGCCGCCGCCTTCTCCCCGCTGTCGCCCGCATGGACTCGCCGCAGCCCTTTGCCCGCTGTCCCTCGCACAGACACGCCGCCTTCTCCCCGCTGTCGCCCGCATGGACACGCCGCCGTCCTCTCCCCGCTGTCACCCGCACAGACACGCCGCCGCCCTTCTCCCGCTGTCGCCCGCATAGGCGCGCCGCCGTCTTCTCCCCGCTGTCGCCCGCACAGACACGCCGCCTTCTCCTCGCTGTCACCCGCATGGACACGCGGCCGCCTTTTCCCTGCTGTCATCCGCATGGACACGCCGCCACCTTCTCCCCGCTGCCGCCCGCATGGACACGCCGCGGCCTCCTCCCCGCTGTCACCCGCACAGACACGTCTCCGCCGGGCGCTCTTACGCGCTGCTCGCCGGCCAGCCGCACCGGAAACCTTGGCCTTTGGCTGGTCGCGATTGGGTCACTGTCCAAGACATGTGCTTGGAATAGGGTACAGCTGTGGAAAAAATTGCTTCCATCGTGCCCCTCCCCCCCCCCCCCCCCGCCATGTCATCGGCAGGCAAGTTCATCAAAGGTCTGCGGATTGTGGTTGAATCTTTTGCGTGGTTGTGTACGTTTGTGTGGTTGGCCAAAACGTGTTGACGGTTAAGACCAGGCTTGTGAAATTCGCTGCTCAACCTGATGCTAAAACGTAGTGGCATCAGTGCTTACCATATGTCTACCAGTCTACAGCCATGGTAACGGGGGTGCCACGTAACATTCTTATGTGTGCTGGACTCCCCCCCCCCCCCCCCGCCCTCCCAACAATTTCAGAACTGCACGTTTGCACACAATGATGCGTGGGAAACATAACTAAAATTCTAAACTGCTATTGGAGCCCCTTCAATCATTTTTAGAAAGTGCTCCTCCTGACCGGCATGGTTCGGCTAAAGCCTAGTATAGGCATTTGCTCGATGCTTTTATTTCTACATATCGCAATAAGATGCACGTTCTGTATCATTTAAGCATGGAGTACTAAATTGTAACGCAATAGTGAAAAACGGCACCTACCCAACAAAAAAACTTCAGACCAGTTCAACTAATCCTATAAAATGTTCTAGGCACCCAGCCGCTGGCGCCAGCCCCCAGCCGCTGGCGCCAGCAAACAACGATTTCACAGCGGGAGTGCGTGTCCGGCGCTGGCAGCGGGCCCAGGTGCGGTCACCCCTCCCACGCACCCCGCCGCGGCACGGCCCCTGACGGTCGGCCGAGCGAGCGGCAGGCGCTCTGCCGCCGCGCGCCGCCGCCGCCGCCGCCGACAGCGGGGACGGACGGCCGTCGGACGGCGGCGGCAGTCGGCTCCGCAGGCGGGGTTCGCCAGGCCGCCATGGCAGACTGCGCCAGGGTGTTCGAGGCGTCGTCGCCCGACGGTCAGATCAGGCTCTACCTGAGCGCGCTGGACTTTGTCGAGCACGGGGCGCGTGTTGACCCCATCGGTGAGTGGGCGCCCGCCCGCGCAAGGACCGGGAGGAGAGTCAGTTGCGGGGGAGGGGGGGGGGGGGGGCGGCGCTGCGTATGCGTGACTTGCAGCCTTGCAGTGGGTTGGTAAGGTCACTGGATTTGCACAAGTACTTGTGAGCATGCCCATGCGACCAGAAAAATCGGAACGTTGCGCGGGGCATTGTGCTTACTAGCATTACGCCTTGTGCGGAGAGGTACAAACAAGATAATGGGAGAAACGAGTGTTAGCGTAATGTAGATGATGACAAAACTAAGCGGATCTGTGCCTTTGAAAACCCATTGCAACGGGTTTGACATCCAGGAACGTGGGTACGTCACAAAAAGTGGATGACTCATATCACGCTTGAAGTAGCCTCTTTCTATCCAACGTCGAGTGACTCATGCTAATATTTTACGGAACACAGAAGAGTTATGGCCTTCCTGGCTTTGTCGGTCGACCTTTATGGTCTTATAAATGCCCTGTCGCCCGTCCTTTATAAAGGCTCGACAGACAACGGTACACACCGAGGGGCGTTCGCGCGGTAATCCACAACAAATTGCTCGAATATTGGTTAACTTTGCCCCTGGCCGAGCCTTACTTATTTCCGAATGTTTACTAGTTGGCGTTTTAAGCGAGGGCGAGCAGGACCCTGCAAAAATGCGTATGTTTAGTGGATTTTGGTCGCTCAGACTACAGCTCTGTACAGTTTCCGTAAATCGATCTCTCTCGTTTAGGCTCAGCGTGTAATTTTTGAGACTAAGTCTCCCAGAGGCGACACTGGCCGCCCCTGTTCAATGGCTGGCACACCTGCGGCTATGGCAATGTTGAGAAGGCCCCGGAACTCGAAGACGACGGTGTGCTTTCCTACATTGGACGGTTGGCTCCACGGCCTATGAAATCTGGTTGGCGGCATCTAATAGCAGTCCATGAAACGTAGAAAAACACCATGGTCTACCATCGGGAGTCATTTTTACGTTAATGACTACAATGACTAATGACTAATCATTGGCATACGGTCGACACTGGGCACTATCGGCACTAGATCGACCGGCGCGAGGTCGACAGGTAACCCGCGGTATTCCACACTTCAGACTGTACGACTGTAGTTTTTCTTCGGTTAAACACGATTAGTTGCGTTTCGTATCATTGTGACGCCTGGTCTCCGATATATGGGCCCAGGTTTGACCCCAAATAGCAGTTTTTGCAGCTAGCATATTTTACGTATCCTGTGTGGAACGATGTTTTAGCTCCAGTAACTGTTAGAAAAGGGAAAACATGATTTAACAGTCTGTACTGGACGTGGCCTGTACTTTCGCTTTAATTCCGGTTACCATTTCTGCGTTTGTTTTTCGTCGTTTTTTGTTAACACGCTCTTGGGTTCGGGTCAAGGTGACGCCTACCCAAATATTTTTCTAGAATGATACTCAAATGGCGCAGCGTATTCGCGCCAAACTTGAATAGCTGTAGAGAATTGAATAGCGGATCGTTTGATGTAAAAACTTTAAATGCAACTCGTAAGGCTGCTGACCTATGGTGGGTTAATGTCTGACCATGACTGTCAGCGAAGAGCACTTTTAGGAAATCGTTCAAGGTAATACAACAGAGTTTTTGACGAAGCCATATACATATCTGAAAGAGTTTGTGAAGCAATAAACCAATTGAGTTTAGAATTATAACCAGTGTCATTGACCTAGGGTAAGGCATAGACAGAGCAAGGTCAGAACAAGGTCAAAACTAACCTGCTTTTTTGCTCGTGTGTATGGTTTTGGAGGGTAGAGTCTGGCGCTTATTTTGAATTTATAAATGACAGGGACCGCACCTGACATTCTCCATGGATTTCTGAAAGGTCATAGTAGGTCACTGACCTAAAATAACCCAGGTTAACATTTCGTTGGTAGGAACAAACCACCTAGCGTTATCCCTGACATTGTTTGGCCTTATTTGATCTCAAGCTCATGACCTAGAAACCTAAAAATTCTGACACAGATGAGTTCACGTGCAGAACAAGGCAGCATGTGAATTTGGTGTCTAGCTATCCTAGTTTTAGAGATTTTACTGATCCCCACCTGAGCAAAGGATCTTCACCCGGCCACCCGGTCGCGGTTTTACCTTAGTTGGCGTTAAAACGCTGATATTATCGGAATTTTGTTAAACGATTTAGTCTCGTGGCATTACACTGAGTGTGACGTCACATGCAGCCAAACAGCGATCGGCTACGGACTTTGGCGGCCAGGCAGTTGGTTAATGGTATCGTCAATCCTGACGACGCGTGACGGTTCTCTTCTTTTTGTTCAATTATGCCGGTTCGGAGTGAACCGATGGACTAAGTGCACGCAGGGTCCTATCAAATGTAGATAAATTATTTTAGTCGCAAGGCGCAAGGCAACATTTGCTTACTGCGATTTCACAGACAAGTCATCCCTGATCTAGCACCTTGCATGCAAATACCTCAGGTTATATACAATACAAGACTTTGTTGCATAATCGAATACTGCTTGCAGCTGCAAACTGGACAAAGATACGATCGGCAGCTAAAAGCTCCTAGAACGCCCAGCCGCTGAGATGGATCCGCCTGTCTTCGCCATGCTTGCCGATCGTTTCTGGCTGTTCACCCGATGCCCAGTGCACATACCCGGCTGTCAGTCGCACTCCTGACCGTTTCACATTGAGTTGGCTGCGGGTATGTGACTTGAAAGGTCTTGCCATGCGGGGGCGTCCACGACAGGTCTTCACTAAGTGCGCCACCGCTCGTCACCTTTAGCGTGCCTGTGGCGGGGGCATTCAACCGCCTCTGAAGGTTGCTGTGCATTCGCTCTCGCGGGAAGCATGTGGGAGGGCCGGCGCGCCACGGCCATTTGTGGCAATATTTGGTAGGTGTTGGTCTCGCCGAACCGGCTGCTCGCCCTCCCCCCCCCCCCCCCCCCACCCCCCGCTACGTACAGCAGCGAAGGGCGAGTATATCGCGTCTGGTCGGCGCCAGCATTCTCAAGATCCCCGCATTGGAGAGAGCGTGAACGGACCTCAGCTTTCCCAATGTGATTATTGCCGATTCCGCTCCGCCATATTGTTAGCTTTGTCACTGTCACGATGCGTTCTCCACGTTTTGTGAGTGGAAGATGCTATGTTTTGCTCGCGTTGTGATGTCACAGGGAAATCCAGTCTTATCAGCGAATTGTCTGCGATTGCGTGCAAATTTGCACGGTACAACTTCCGCTGAGTTGCGATTGTATCGCTGAAAACTGCTTGGAATTGTGACCAGCAGTTGCAAAAATTTTGGCTTCTAGAACGCTTGGCAACCGAGTTGGGTGGCCGTCATACGAAACAAACCATCACTGATCATGGGAGAAACACTTAATTGCAGCCTCGGTCGGAACAAAATATTTCTCGATAGCTTGTAAGAGTTGCGAAGGATTTGCATTCCTTTCCCGTTGGTAGTAATACATGGCAAGAATGTTGTGGCGATGCCATGCATATGCTAATCGTGGTGATTTCATGCACAACTCAGCGCAGGATTTTCAGCACAACACCTCCGGTAAGGAGACATTTAACCTCATGAGGGCGGCCTAATAAAGCTGCACTGTTTCTTGGGAACAAACAAAGGAAAGAACATAATTATGAATGACACCATACCAGCAGCTTCAACAGAAAATTAGGGCAGATAGCATACTGAATGGTAAGGCTTGGCAGCTATCGGCATGGTAGATTCAGAGTTATGAACGGTCTGCAAACAGGAATTTTGGACTTGGTGAAATTTGACGACTTTTGATCCGACTTAGGGTCACCAAATTTGGAACTGCGAGAGGGATCACGGTATGGAGCGTCCAGTGGTGAAGATATGGCAGTGATCGGTTCGGTAGGTTCTGAGCTATAGGTTGTCTGCAAGCAACAATTTTGGACTTGGCCCATCGGTGGGCGAAAATGATGGCGTTTCTGAAATAATTACCTTTAAACACTTAATACAATCAGTGACATAGGTTATGTGACGCAGTTTTGAGCGTGTGCACCCGCAAATCTTAGTAACAAAAACCTCGGCGCTACGCTTTGCATTCTCCGTAGGCCGCGCAGCGTCAGCCCAGCAGCTGATACTGAGCCGTATCCAACGGATGGACGAAAATTATGATGCTTCTGAGAGAAGCGCCTCTGAACGCCTCAGGACATCAAATGCTTAGAAGACAGTCTGGGTGCATTTTTCACGTGTGAGATTTTTAGATTTATGATAAGAATGGATTGGCCCTTAAAGCGCCGCGGAGTGGTGCTGGAATCCAGTAGTGGAACTGGAAGAGTGAATGTAAAATTTACGGTTTCCGTGTTTTTGCAGCTATTAATCTGTCCAGGTTAATCTGTCATATTAACACGGCGCCCACCATCTGATAGAACTTGCAGTGGCCGACGCCGTTCGGTTTTATGGATGCTGCAGCCCAGGCCATCGCTGTCCTTGCTCTGGAGGTTGTGGCGGGCATGTTTAAAGCTTTTAAAGCAATTGATTTCAATAATCTAGTCTGAAAAATGGACGCTCTTAGGCAAACATGGGGTGGCCTTTTTCATTTTTTTATTACTTATTTTGACCCTCTTCATTCAACAATATTCCCTTCTGCTATGTTTCGATAAATGCATGCTGCCGAAATATCAACCTAACTATATCTCTACTCCCCTGGTTTTTCTCCGAGGAATAAGGCTCATACTTATATATGTTTTATCGAAATGTTTGGCGTTAAGAGAAACAGTCACAGGGAAAAAGAATGCTAAACTTATGAAGAGGACATAGCACAGCTTTTGTTTCCTTGTTAAAGAATGATTTCTCAGCGGAGATGCGATGCCGTTGACGCTGGTGTCGCATCGCCACAGCTTGTGTTTCCTTGTTAAAGAATGATTTCTTAGCGGAGATGCGATGCCGTTGACGCTGGTGTCGCATCGCCACAGCTTGTGTTTCCTTGTTAAAGAATGATTTCTCGGCGGAGATGCGATGCCGTTGACGCTGGTGTCGCATCGCCACAG